AGGTCCCAAGGGTATTGGACCAGGGAGGTCCAACCCTGTAACTGGATGCCATATCAGTTCTTCCATTATTTTGCCTGATGCAACATTAGCACTGGCTGACGCCAGAGTAAATAAGAGAATCATGCCCAATCACAAAGCTTTGGTTTATTTTAAGAAATGCTTATTACAGATGGTAATATACATGGGAGACAAGGATTTTTGCATGATTGGGCCACCTCTCTTGATGCTATCATATATTTAGGGTGTACAGAAAATACAGGTCTGGGACTAATATTTAGTTTAGAATTATTTATACCAATACAGCCTGTCCTTTAGCTGATTGTAATGCAGACATGGCACTCATTGGAAAGTGCATTCAGAGGCTGTACCATCTTGTTATACTCTAGAGCAGGAGCCACTGCACTGCAGGGGAACCCGACTCACCAGGCAGCCTAGGACTGGGCTGTACTGTACCCAGATGGGTTAATGGCAGAGCCCTCCCCCAAGGAGTTGAGTGCTGCTGTGTTAGTATTAGCAGCTTTCCAAAACTTGGGTAGACATAAGGCCTAGTGTATTATACCTGAACCCAGACATCAGTCAAGCTAACACAAAAGGGCCTACAGGAATGCTGAGAGCAGCTTTTAGAAGATTTCTTGCATTAGAGTTTTTAACCATTACTGAATTAATCTAAATTAACACAAACATATTATAAGCATGATAGGAAAGTAACTTGATCGGCTACAACTCTCAGGAGTGAGATATCAACTAAAATCACCACGCCTTGTGGGGAATGGTGCCAGTATTCAGTTCCTTTGCCCTAATCAACTAGAATGATGCACACAAGCTATTCCTGCCTCATGTCCCAAACCCTCAGAAGGCCATACTCACCATGGCTGATGCTGTGACTGGTATCGTGCTTTATCAGAACAGAAGTGAGAACATAGGCTCAAAACTTGGGTGGAGCAAGGGAAGTCTGTCCAAACCCTTATGTTTTAATCTCCATCATGAATACACCAACAATCATACCTCTGTGTGTTGTATTTGCAGTGGCTGCCACTGCACTCTTCAGGGCCTTCCCCACAGCTGTGAAATGCCTGAACCATATAAGGAGGGGAAAGAAGAGGACTCGGGATGCAATGTCCCAGGAGATCCTGCAAGCCAGTGCTGCATCAGAAAAGAAGATCAGGGCTTGAAGAATCATGCTTGCAGACAGCATGCACAAGGATAGAGTGGAGAGGAGACAGGAGAGGGATGTGCAGCAGGAAATGCTTGTGCTCCTCAGACAGCAAACAGAGATGGGGCAGCAGTCTGTGGTGAGCCTGCACATTCAACAATTCTGTGCTCTCTTCCCACTGCATCCCACAGAGAACTCCACCTCAGGCCCTTCCTATACCCATGTCAACATTCCACATAACATCAGGGTTTGGTGCACTACCCTTAGCACTCCACCTGGGGGAACATTCAAGAAAACAGACTTGCATACACTGACCTGTGAAAACCATTGTATTTGTAGTTGAAGTGGAAATAACTGTGCTTTCCCCTTCATAAATTCTTTCCCCTTAATTTATTAAGTTTTATTCAATTCTATATGTTTTCATTGGCTGGCTCATGTTACAGAATACAACTGTATTCTTTGGAACATTATTCAGCTGTATGGCTACGTCTACATTGGCAAGATTTTGCGCAAATACTTTTAACACAAGAGTTTTTGCTTTAAAGTATTTGCACAAGAGAGTGTCTACACTGGCATGTGCTTTTGCACAAGAGATGTGCTTTTGCACAAAAGCATCCGTGCCAGTGTAGACTCTCTCTTGCACAAGAAAGCTCCGATGGCCATTTTAGCCATTGGGCTTTCTTGCGCAAGAAATTAACATTGCCTGTCTACACTGGCCTCTTGTGCAAGAACAGTTACGCAGGAGGGCTTATTCCTGAGTAGGAGCATCAGAGTATTTGCGCAAGAAGCACTGACTTTATACATTAAAACGTCAGTGTTCTTACAAAAGTATTCGCAGCCAGTGTAGACAGGTGGCAAGATTTTGCGCCAAAGTGGGTGCTTTTGCGCAAAATCTTGCCAATGTAGAGACAGCCTATTACTTCACAATATTTGCTGGCTGGTGATGGGCAGGTCTGACAGAAATCAGTTTCCTGTCACTGTGCTGTGTCACAGAACCCACATAATAACATTCACAAACCAAATTCAGCAGCTAAATGCACCACCTTTGCCTTCCATATTGGAAGAAACTTTTCTCTCTTGGCTTCATAGATATTGTTCAGGATACAGCAGGAAGCCATAATCATTTTTGTCACTCAGATCCAATCTTATAAGTCAACAACTAGCGGTCCTTCAAACAACCAAGGGTGTATTCAACTATCATTCTGCACGTGCTGAACCTGTGGCTGAAATGCTCCTTGCTGCTGCTGAGGTGGCTGATACATGGCTTCATAGCTATGGGAGCAAGGGCTATGCTGGTTCACCCAGGATAATTTTTGGTATTTCAATATTCCCACCAGACTTAAAACAGTTTCCTGGCATAATCAGACCATACTGTGTTATTTCTCCCCCATACTAGCTGACATGACCTATGTGATCATAACTCAGTGAAGAGTCACAATCATGTTTCACAACTATGTCTAAACATGACCAGTCTGTACACTTGAAAGAATGTGAAGTACCGGAACTACCTTATCTACTATCGGTCTGTCTGTCTGACTGTGTGTTCAAGAACTCCTCCTAAACAATAAGAGCTAGGACCACCAAATTCAGTACACAGCTTCCTTTTATCATAACTTAAAGTGAGGTAAGGTTTCTGTTGTGCCAGGAAAAAATGAGATGTGCCTGGAATAGGATTGCTTCTCATAAAACAATACAGAAAAGAGACAGCGTTACCAGGCAGGTGAAAGGGGCTGGCTGCCCACTCCTCCAGTCCAGGACTGCCCCAGCCCCAAGCCTCACATCCCCCAGGTGCCCTCTTTGGGGGGAGGGGTCAGAGAAGCTGCTGTTCCCCTTCCCCTCATCCCCATTCATACTGGTACATTTCCCTTTCATCAGGGAGCCAGGAAAAAGTGAAGTTTGCTGCATTCCTCACTTTGGCTGGGGAGCACAGGGGGTAGAAGAACCTGGACCTGCCCCAGCTGGTGGACATACATCCTTCTCCCAACTGTGCCCACTGGAGCTGCAGTAGCCATGGATCAGTGCTTCTCACCTGGCTCCCAAGGCTATGTCTAGACTGCATGCTTCTTTCAGAAGAACCTTTTTTCAGAAGAGATCTTCCGAAAAAACTTCTTCTGAAAAAGAACATCCACACACAAAAGCACATTGAAAAAGTGATCTGGTTTTTCGAAAGATAGCGTCACACTGAATGGACGCTATCTCATATTTAAGCTGTGATTGCTATGAACAGAGTGGCCACCAGGGCATCTGTGCTTTTTCCTCTTCCCTCTTCTTTCGAAAGAACTCCCTCATTCCCATCCACACACGCCTTTTTCCAAAAGAGCTCTTTCGGAAAAAGGCCTCTTCCTCGTAGAAAGAAGCTTACCAACGCTGGAAAACCCCCTCTGTTCTTTCAATTTACTTTCGGAAGAACGCAATTGCAGTGTGGATGTAACTCCGGTTTTGTTGGGAAAACAGCCTTTTTCCGATAAAACTCTGTAATGTAGACATACCCCAAGCTGCTGCGTGAGAGAAGGCTGGGGTAGTCCTCTCTCACAGGGGCAGCTTGCATGCTGAGCCCCCTTATTCCTAGCCCCACCCCAGACCAATGAAGCAATGGGAGCCTCACCCCAGACTAGGGCATGTTCAAATGAAGCATGTACATTTTTATTTTCGTTTCTGAAAAACAAAAATTAATTGAGTTAAGGACATGAGCAATGCTGGGTAAATCTTCTAGTTAAGACTAAAGAAAACAACATGGTGGAAGATAAATGATCCCTGCCTTCTAAAGATCCCACGGCTAAATGCACACCAGGATCTGTTAGATTGTATGTGTGTATGTGTGCTGTCTATACACACACACACATACCCATGTTTACATGTCTATTTTAACAAACTAGTGATTCTCCACTCAGCATGTGTACCTTACATTAACAGAGGTCCTACAATTGACAGGTACTTCATTATGTTTTCTGTTCTTTCCACTCCAATTCATCTGATGGAGTGGGTTTTACACACAAAAGCTCATGAGTCTATATTATTTTTGTTAGTCTCTTATTATTTCCCAAACAGTGCCACCTGGTGGTCCTTTTAAATAACTTCTGTGCTTCCCCTAGGAAAACTCCTTTCCGGATCTGGGAAAATTTACAATGAAGTAGCAAAGGGACATAAAGATAACGATCTCCTCCTATATCAGAGCTAATAATATTTACAGGGCACTGTGATTTTGGAAGCCGATGGAAGTGTTGCAGTTACCTCTAATAATCTATTTACACGGTCAGCTGCAATCTTACATGGAGACAGAGGGAGGGAAAGTGAGAGAGAGAGAGACGAAGTTTCTTGGGCAAAACTCGTATGAGGATTTGAGACTCTCTATTTAACCGATGTGGTTTATTTCTGTTTCTGGAAACCGCGTCTGCACAAGTCCGTCACGCTAGTGGGAAAGTTATTTCTTAGTGCAAGTATTGAGAAAGTGAGAATCCCGGGAGCTAGGTAGACCGGCAGTTAATTCGTATCAAGGAAAGAACATTAATTCCTAACTCCTGGAAGGAGTTCACCTAAAAGACCAGTCCCGTGTGAAGTGTGGTTGCAGGGAAACGTCTGTCCGCCGAGCACAGACATGCAGCCCAGCCAGGCTCTCCGTTCCCAACTGCTTGCTGCTCGTGCAGAGGAAATCAGGTGGTGACAACATATGTGTAGCATTTTTCGGCAAATGTTTGCAATTAGGCTAATTGAATTCTCATTCAAACGGGTTGTAGACCCAAGTTCGTTTGAATGGGCAGTTCTTTCTTCCAGCCCCCCCCCCCTTCCCCACAGGACCTCCCTCCCTCCTCCCTGTCCCCATCCTCCGTCCTTATTAAAACCACCTCCAAGTCTCACTTGTGAGAAGACCCCATAACGTGCAGGAGGCAGCGAAGCAACAGCGGGGAAAGGGGGGGAAAAGGCGAGACGTCTGGAAAATATTAGCCGCGGCAGCGCTCCGCTGACCCGGCGCTCGAGCTGCGAGGCATCCCCCAAAGCGCCGCGCTATTGATGCTGCCCATCTCGCCACGCTCCGCGCCTGCCCCGCGACGGCTCGGGGCTCCCGGCCACTCGCCTTGCCAAGCGCCTCCGAGCGCTGCTTCGTTCGACGCGACTTCTCCGAAGCCGGGAGGGCAGCGTTTGCGCGAGAAGCCGAAGCGGAGCCGGGGCAAGGGGGGCGGGGAGGCCGGCACGTGGGGGAGAGGGGGGCGAGCGAGCCAGTTCGAATGATTATTGGCCTTTCTCCGGGACGCCAAGTCCTTGATCGATTACCTCAATATCGGGAGCTGTCCCGCGGGAGCTGCGCGCCACCAGACCACCCAGCGAGCCGAGCGCCCTTTATGAGCAAAGGACAAACAAGGTAGGGGGCTGAGGGGCTTACTCCTTGCACCCAGAGGGGAACCAGCCCTCGTGGGAATGGTTAAGATTTACATGCATGAAAGTGGTCGCAGGGAAGAGTGGCATGGGGGGGGGGATGTTTCTGAGGGGGGCTGTTATGGGAGGGATTTACTCTCCCCCCCCCCACACACCTATTTTGGCAAGACACTAGCACGCAGGGTGACCCGAAGCGTTTTTATACTAACTCCTCGCCTTAAACAAACAAAACAAACAAACAAATAAAAGCCCCCGTTTTACATCTTGTCGATTTCACGCCGTTTAGCCGCGGGGAATAAGGGGGGATGGTGTGAAGTGATTCACCTAAGCGGCGGAGGTGCGTTGGGACTGGAGCCGCCTCGGCCGGACGCACCAGGCAGGCTGCCGGGGTTTTTGGACGGCACACAGTGTAGTCCTTTATACACTTGTGCAAACATCACCGTGATCCCCTCCCTGTCCAGGAGGTGGGGGACGTGACAGGAGCGGAGGGAGGGATGGGGTTGCAGGAAAAGGCTGGGAGGGGTGTGTGTAGGGAGGGGGTTCGGAAGGGGGGGGGGGTTGTTCCAATCCAGCCCCACCTCTGCGAGCGCAAACGCGACCAAGATGTCTTGCTGAAATCCAAAGTGGAGAGAGGAAGTTTCCGGGGGGACGTAAGCGGGGGGGAGCGGGGAAGAAATCTCCCGCTACCAGGGAAACGTCTGGCACCTCCCCTAAGGCGCCCGGCTGAGAGTTTGATGAGCACAGAGTGTTACTTGGAGCAGCCCTGTTGGCTCCGATGCTCTAGACACTCCCTAGCCCTTGACCAGGGCAGTTTGAATGGGTTTGCGCCTGTGTGCGCTAGGGAAGACGTGGCATGCCAGACACGTGCTTTATTCAGAGCAAACCCCGGGGAGAGGCTATTGGCAGGGGGGGGGGGGGCGTCCT